GCCTTGAAAGTCGCAAAGCCGCCTAACAACGTGAATGAATTGTACTCTTTTCTGGGTGCGGCCAATTTTCAACGGAAATTTGTACCTCGGTTCGCAGAGATTGCTGCACCACTGTACAACCTGCTCAGGAAAGAAATGAAATGGCAATGGAGCAAGGCAGAGGAAGATGCATTCCAGGCCTTGAAAGATGCAATGTGTGAGCATACGCTATTAGCACACTACGATGTCAAGAAGCCAGTCACACTCCAGGTGGACGCTTCTCCAATGGGTCTAGGTGCCGTACTATTGCAAAGGCAAACGAATGGTGATGTTTTGCCGGTTGCTTACGTGTCAAGGAAATTGACACCGGCTGAATCGCGTTATGCACAAATCGAACGGGAAGCCGTAGCTGTGGTTTTCGGTGTTACGAAGTTCCAGAAATACTTGCTAGGGCGCCACTTCACGCTTCAAACCGACCATCAACCACTATTGAAGTTACTGGGAAACAACGAACCAGTTCCTACACTTGCATCAGCTCGCATCAAGAAATGGGCACTAATGCTAGCTGGCTATGATTATGAGATCAAGTATTTGCCAGGCAAGGAAAATGTCTACGCGGATTTCCTGTCTAGGCAACCATGTGAGAATATCAGTCCGTCTGCAGAGGAAATGGTTACGGTTCGTGTCTTGCTAGTGGAGGAAGATACGATAATCAAAGCAGACGTAGTGAAATCGGAAACAGCTCGTGACCCTGAGCTATCTAAGGTGCTCTACTATGTGGTGAATGGTTGGCCTAGCTCAGTACCCCAATCGTTTCGGTCTTACCACAATAAGAGGGATGAGCTGTCTGCGGAAGATGGTATCCTATTGTGGGGACAACGAGTTGTCATACCCAAATCACTAAGAATGGTATTGCTACGTGATTTGCACACGGAGCACTTTGGCATGGTCAAAACCAAGCAAATGGCACGACGGTACTTATGGTGGCCAAATGTGGATCAAGAGATTGAAATGTTGGTCAAGGCATGTGCTCAATGCCAAGAAAGTGCGAAATGTCCACCTGCCAAGTCGGGAACCTGGTCATGGCCAAACGGTCCTTGGAAACGGGTGCATATCGACTTTGCAGGACCATTCATGGGCAAGATGTTCCTGGTTGTGGTGGATGCATACACAAAGTATCTGGATGTAATTGCAATGTCTAATGCCACGTCTGCAACCACTATTGCGGCTCTGCGGCACGTGTTCTCTGTGTTTGGTCTGCCGGAGCATCTTGTTTCAGATAATGGAACCCAATTCACGAGCGAGGAATTCAAGGCTTTCCTCCGTGCCAACGACATTGTGCACACCCTGACGGCTCCAGGCCATCCGGCTACGAATGGACTTGCTGAGCGCTATGTGGGTGTGTTTAAGCAGAAGTTGAAGGAAATGGGTGCAACGAGCGAACCACTGCAAGCTCGGCTCGACAGGTTTCTGCTAACGTACCGCACGACACCCAACCATGCCGGCAGAACACCTGCGGAGATGATGTTTGGACGCCAGCCACGCACGCGGCTTAGTGCTCTGCGTCCCTCGCAGGTACGTCAACAAGCAAAGGCTTATGAGGACGGCAATCGCGTCAAGCCAGCGTTCACAGAGAGTGACTCTGTGTTTGCGCTCAATTTCGGCAAAGGTAATCGTTGGGTCCCGGGACGAATTGTGCGTGTCCTCAGTGACTACAACTATGAAGTACAAGTGGGTGATGTGTTGTGGAAGCGTCACCGAGATCAGTTGCGTCTACGGTCAGTTCCGGCAAGCTTGAGTGCATCGCTGCCAGAACCACTGTTGGATACAATCGATCAGACGTCACCGTCACCAGTGCTGTCAGACGTAGCAGAGTCGTCACTGGCCAGTGATTTTCCGGCTAGCGTCTCGCCACAGTCTGCTACTGTACAAGTTGAGGCGGATCCTCCTTGTGAGCAGTCTGCTCCTGAAGTTGGTTTACCACAGGTTGAGAATACTCCCTGTGAAACCACTGTTAGACGTTCGTCTCGGCGTAGTGTTCGTCCGGATAGACTGATTGAACAGCTTTGAGCCGTTCCCTGATATGTCATTGCTGGACTGTTTAGCGAACTAGTAATTATTACCATGTACAATAGTGTGCAAGATCCTTGGTATTGCTAATATTGACTGACGGATTCCTGCGTCAGATTATGTTATTGTAGTGCTGTGTCAAAGTTTAAGAATTCACGTACGGTGGATTGATGAACTTATTTTATGTGTTGCTTCAACGATTTTGAGGTATTTAATTGTGGTAGAATATTCCCGGGAACATTCTTGAAAGGGGGCAGTTGTTGTGTATGCAAGTTAGTCATTATATATCTACTACACCGTTTGCTACTGACTGCGCATGCTCGCATATGGTTGTTGTTGTTACTTTACCTGACCAAGAGGAATGTCTTACAAATGCTAGTGTTTGTGTGTGTCAGTAAGAATGCATGAGTGTAATGGAATGTTAGTCCGCAAGGGGACATAACACACACCAGGTCGGCCTATCCAAAGGAGGATATATGAGCATTGCTCTTTCGCTGACTTCGCTGAGTACGGACCTCCGAAAATCAATTCACAATACTGCCTAAACGAGGCGAATTCCTCCGGGAGGTTGTCTGACTCCCATCTCATGGATGGAATAGAAAATCCAGCCATCGTTATCAGCAGCCCAATTCTGACACCATGTAGTATTATTCTCAATAGGGACAAGGAGACATGGACGAGTAAACTAATGAGGAGCAAGAAATGCACAACCAGTAGGTAAGTCAAAAACAAGAGAAGTGCCGAGCCAGTGAAGCACATCAAAGTTCTGGCCTACGGGAAACGGCCTGTGTGACGTACATACAGCATGCAACGCATACAGTCATAAGTGTACAGTAGTGTACGCATAATAGAGTCCAGATATTACGACAGCGGCAGCACCATCGTCCATCTCGCACAGTGCCTTTGCAATTGGACCAATTTCGAGGGCATTTCGAGCGAGACACTCTTGCCTGCGGAAAAGATTCATTGCTCGTTTATGCATCTCAGTTCCAGCATGATCCTTGAACGCTGATGTTCTCAGGTTCTTGGATCCGGTTATGAAAGCCTCGCTGAAGTGTTTACAACTGCGGACTCTGTCTACAAACTTGATGCACACGGAACACTTCAAACATTCTGCTAACAGCCGATCGTTCTTCTGCCGGTCATAAATCAGCCAGGCGGAAGAATTCAGCTCTGCATCATTGTCCGAGATCCACTTATCGCAAGTAGCGGCCTTCACACCACGGACTTTTTTGCCCGGCGGCAAGTCCTCTGAATCTCCCTTTCGCTTTCCAGAAGACATTCTAAAAGACTATCTGCATTCCTGGTCAGTGAAAGAGTCAAAAATAAAAAGATGATATCTTCCTCTCAAGAGTGAACAACTGCACTGCACTGCAGTTCAACCCATCGATTCAGGTGCGAAGTCGACACCATGTACCAAAGGTCGAAAGTGTGAATTGACTGTAGCAACCGCGTTTCTACAGGCGGATCAAGTAAATAAGGTGAAGTCGACTGGTCTACGCCTGAGGCTACGGTGTAGACGTGTTAGTTGTACGATATGCAAGTCGCAGTTGGCACGAAGCGGCCGAAGAAAGCCCAACTCTGCATAAAAAGGTCGAAAGGTCGCTGCTCTTTTTTTTTCCTTTTTTGACCGGACACTATGTCCGGTGAAATTGAAAACGTCCGTTCAGTGGCCGAAAATGGCCGGAAAATGTCCGATGTCCGGCCGTTAATCTTTGCCCTACACTCACACACACACATACTACTACTACTACTACTACTACTACTACTACTACTACTACTACTACTACTACTACTACTACTACTACTACTACTACTACTACTACTATGGCACAGCTACCCTAAACGGGTCACACCGCCCTTCACCCGAGCATGAGCACTATGCGGGGCAATGGCGAATAAAGAGAATCAGCTAGCAGAACTGGCAAAACAGATGAAACAATGGAGTAGAACGGACGACTGCTATACTGTAACAACAATCTGATAGTGACAGTGACAATAACTGAAAAATAAAAAAGGAGGAAAAACTGCGAAATTTCACGTCACAAAAAAGCACTGTCCACGAAAGAATCCACCAAGCAAAAGGAGAGTGGGCATCCGAAATCCCACCAGGACTCCACTGGCAGTTCTCATCGCCATTTCCCATGGAATCGTCATTGCAACTGCATTGCATCTATTGTGTGGCTGCATGTTTTTTTATTTTTGTATCACATTGCACCGGCATACCTACGGAAGAAGGAGAAACAAAACGAAGACAAAACAAAAAAAACAACAATGAGTGTGTAGGCGCTACATGAGCTGCGCTGGTGAGATGCGCTGGTGAGATGCGCTGGTGAGATGCGCTGGTGAGATGCGCTGGTGAGATGCGCTGGTGAGATGCGCTGGTGAGATGCGCTGGTGAGATGCGCTGGTGAGATGCGCTGGTGAGATGCGCTGGTGAGATGCGCTGGTGAGATGCGCTGGTGAGATGCGCTGGTGAGATGCAGTGGACTCCCCCGACTAAAGAGGGAGGGAGGGAGGGAGGGTGCGAGGGAGGGAGGGAGAGAGAGAGAGAGAGAGAGATAAAGAGAAAGAGATGGGTAAGTAAGGGAAAGAGAGAAAGAGGTGGAGAGATATAAGTATAGAGGGAGAGAAAGAGTGTGGAAAGCTGTAGTAAACCAATCCAACCCACATGGAAGAGGCTGTAGTTGACAGCATACTTTCGTTTCCTGGTAAGCCAAGGGCCAGGGTCGCCAGGGTGAGATACCCTATAGGAAAGGTAAAATTGTTTGAAATGGCAAAAGGGACTATACAAATGCCCCCCCCCCCCCCCACCTCCCCCCAATGTGGCTCTCAAAAATGATTGGAGCAATTATATACTGGAGAGGCAGCTGGCATAGTGGGATGTGTACATGGAAAACAAACTGAGGAAGGATATGTTTCTTTGTGCTTTTCCTGACACCCTCTTTCAGATTATGCAGACATTCTCTATTAGTGTCATTGATATGAATGATCAGCCATACTCCATAAGCTTCTCATCGAAAAATGGAGCAGTGTCGTTTCTTCCGGATAATCCAGAACTTCCAGAAAACTCAAAAATCGGAACTGTTGTTGGTACTATTCAAGGTACAGATTTGGTAAGTATTCATAATTTTAAAGTCAGTTGACTTGCAATAAAACATGTCCGAACCGGACGCCCTTGGTGCAGCGGAAAACTGTCCTAGTATGACAGGATTCCACTTGAACAGTACGGCCTTCCTTACCTTCAGCGGTTTATGAATTTTCTACACGACAACCTTTTCCATTTCCTAAACTAGTGAGCATTTCAATACTTTGGAGCTCCCCGCACACTAGTTTGGGCGTGAAGTGTGTGTGTATAGTGAGGACTGCGCCCTACCAGCCTGTGTAGTTTCACAGGAAGTGTGAGTGTCGTAGTCTGGAGAAAATGTTGAACGGTCGTTGCTGGGATGCCAGCTACATAGCTTAGTGATTAGAGCATCACTGGACTCAAGCGAAGGTCCCTGGTTCGAGTCCTGGTCGTGACAGTAAATTTTCTCTTAAATCTTTTCCCTTTTCCAATCCCTCAACCAGTGAACAATAACCTTGACAGTATCTGATCTCCTTGTTTGATGCTGTCAATGTTTCTATTTGCAGGATGCCAACCAGAAGCTCACCATCTCCCTGGATAACAATGCTGGCAATCGCTTTGCTGTTTCATCAACATCATGTACATTCGTAAGCGATCGCACACCCTAGCAATGTTGCTTCGTTTGCTTTGCTGTCAGCTAAAGTGTGTGTTTCATTCCTTAGAAAATGGTTGCGCGTTTTCTTTTCATATTACAACTGACAAGTTCTGGTTTAGTCATATCTTCGTTAAAGTCTGATATTTGAGACGCATGAAGGGCAGTTTTGATGGTCTCCCATAATATTGCTTGACCCGCATCTGTACATGTACGTAGCGAGTTGCAAGTAGGAAAAATGTACATAATATAGGCTGTTACACCCAGAATCCGAATCAGACTCCACGCAAGCTGTGTTTGGTTCAAGTGCTGCCTGGGAGTGGAATTTCAGACATGCTGCTTCCCACAGGCAACTTGGAGAAATGTGGCCAGGCACCAGGGATACTTGCATGTGGCTAATGAGGCTTTCGGTATTAATTGTGCCAAGTGGTTGTGAGACTTATCCGCTCACCCCTCCATTAGGTGCTGCATTTTCCGCTTGCTTATTCCATCTTGGAAGCGGAAGGATTTCTCCAGCCAGGCTAAGACCCACGGTGAACTGGGAACTCGTGGCCTGGCACGAGGAAAACATGGAGGTGGCAAATGGGATTTCGGCCTTTGGCTCCTGGTTGGTGGATCTGAACTATCGTCCCCACCGTTTAGGAGCCACATCTAACGCCTGATCACGGGTTGGTGGCGTCCCACGGAAGCAGAAAGGTTGTTCTTGACCCACCCTGTACACAAACCCGTGCGATATTATTAAATTTTTTACTCCAGTGTAAGCTCCCATCATCAATTTCCTCGGGACACTGACAAATGTACCTTTTTACGGTCAAATTATTGCTGAGTTGGCTGTTGAATATGTTTCTCTGTATGCTGTTGAATATCTCTTTGCAGACATCCTCAAGCACATGCACAGCCATGGTGACAGTATCGGGCAGTTTGGATCATGAAGACTCGTATCAACATCAAGTTGTAGTTCGGTTGACGGATCCGGGTGGATTGTTCAAAGTCAAGAAATTCACCGTCAAGATATTGGATGTCAATGACCCTCCTACGGTGAGACACTTTGGTTGTTGTAGTGCTGAATTGTAACCAGACAAAGTGTGAACAGCACCACATAAGGCCATGGGTAGCTTGTGATGTTCTATTTAGACCACAACAGGGCTGTAGGAAAACCACTGCCACACAAGGTTATTGTCTTGCACGAAGATCCCCTCCTCCTCTGTATTGAAGTACACCTTGATGTACGCCATCAGCTCATATTTTCTCGTTTATGGCATTACATATCTACTCTTTGTACTGTGCAGGATATTGTGCTGTCAAACGATGATATAGCAGAGAACAAAGCAAAGAGTCTTGTTGGAGTTCTAACAGCAAAGGATCCTGATCTTGGTCAAACTTACACCTACACGCTAGTCAACAATGCCGGTGGAAAGTTTGTGGTAAGGCAAATTTGAATGTCTTTGTTTCTCACATGTGAAAATACGGGTGATACAGATGGAGTCTCAATGAATCGAGTCGCAAATTTTCAGGAAAACTAAAATAAAATGCAGAAATTGTCAGACAGAGTTTCAATATGCACCACAGACACAGATTCCACCCACTCGAAACTGGTCAGTAGAGACTGCTTGCACACAATGAGCTGACTTGCATACTGTAAGACCAGTAATGTTAACGAACATTCAATTGTAGAAAGGAAGAGGACATATTATGGATACGAACGAGTTAAGAGTAACTCTCCATCACTGTAACCAGATACTATATACTCGTATCCATATGTCCTCTTCCTTTCTACATTTATTATTGGCTCAACATCCGAGTTTTGAACATTTAATTCTAACAATTTAAGGAATTTCAGAACTAAATATTGCGACAGAGCTTTCGGCCATATTTTCAATTCATTGCATTCCCAACTCATCACAACCACGCGCTCTTCAGCCGAACCATACAGACACCAGCAAGGACACTTCCGTTGAGAGATAATAATTATTGCTCCACGCCTCTAGACAGCTGTCTAGATACACTTGCGCCATTTCTTGTGTATAAGAATGATCATTCCTCCATTATCATCATTATCATCCTCTACTGATGAGCTCCGACAGGGAGCGAAACAGCTGTCTAGAGGCGTGGAGCAATAATTATTATCTCTCAACGGAAGTGTCCTTGCTGGTGTCTGTATGGTTCGGCTGAAGAGCGCGTGGTTGTGATGAGTTGGGAATGCAATGAATTTAAGGAATTTAAGAAAATCGTCAACATTTGTAGTCGTTATGTGCAAAACGATATGTAATATACAGTCATTTGCCAGTTTTGAGACAGAATTCGTTTGAATTTCACCTTGCTAGCCCACAAAAATCCGGAGATCGTTTTTGAAATATCTGGCCTTACAGTAGTGTATTAGTGGCTCGAGTGCTGGTTTGGGACACAGAGTCAGTGTAATTATTGATCTTTCACCCCATGTTCACATGTGATTGTGCTGACAATATTTGTTTTTGACTGCATTCGTTTCACGTCATCTTAGATCTCTGGCAATGAGCTCAGAACAACTGGTGCTCTGGACTATGAGGCATCAGCATCATTGACTGTTCGTGTTCGTGTGACAGACAGTGGCAGTCCAGCACTAAGCTATGAGAAGAATCTTCTTATCACAGTCATCGATGTGAATGAAACACCTACAAGAGTGCAATTGTCAAATTATCTAATCAATGAAAACCCCAAAGTGGATACTATCGTAGGAATGATTACAACCTCTGACCCGGATAATGCCAACAAGGTATGGCAGACATTCAGCTACAAACTGATTGACTCTGCACAAGGGATTTTCAAGATTGAAGGAAACCAAGTGAAGGTAAACAACTAGTTCTTGGAGGAGATCCGTAGAAGCATGTTTGACATTGTGGAGTTCAATCATTATATTTGTTTCTGATAATTGGTAACTGATAACTGATAATTCTGATAACCTAAGCCTACCGCCTCTATATTTGTGTGGATATTTGTAAAGTACTTTTTGCATAAACGTTGCAGACGAGTACCTTGGAGTGGTTTAAGGTAAAGTCATTTCTTGATCGGCACAAGCCAGAATGGATTCTGTGCATACCTTTTGTCTAAGCCTTGAATTGCCAAAACTTTGCTCAAAATAGGGGGTGTGCATTATACTCCTGCGAATACGGCAATACAATCAACATATATGCTGGCTTCTTGTCCAGGTGGCAATACCCAATGTAGATTGTCTGAAGAACGGTGGGTCCTACTGTCGCCTGAATTATGAATCCTCACCTACTTTCAGTGTCACAGTTCAAGTCACTGATAGTGGATCACCCGCGAAGACTGCAACTTTTCCGCTCACCATCCAACTAAACAACATCAATGACCAACCAAGACAACTGACTATTGGCAATACAATTGTGAGTTGATTTTAGTTCAGTCCATTGATTTCCTTTGCCCGTCCTGCACTGGTCTTTATCCCTTCTGGTCCTATTAACTTAACTGGTGTGAAATTCACAATCATTATGGGGATATACATTGATGTAGGAAATGAAATGAAATTTCATCTAACTGCAAATGACATGTACATACGTAATCATAATTTTCCTGATCACGGAGCATGAGAACAGTTGAGTGGGTTCAGCCATGCATGCCATAGTATATGCCCCCCCCCCCCCCCCATTGGTGTATATGGTCTAGATAGGGGATGTCGCAAGAAGTAATACCCACTACGTCATTCCTTTGTGCCTTTTTTGGAGGCAATCGTTGGTTCATGACCTACCAATTGAATGCTTTAAGTCAAGTGTGGATTGGATTTGAATTTGCTGCTCCTGTCTCTCCTTGCAAAGCCATGTGGAGTTTCCAAAAGAGGCAGAACCAGCGGTAGAATGTGTGTATTAGCATTCTGTGGCACAATCTAAATACCGTATATCCCCGAATACTGTAAATATACAAAATTTCGGCGCTGCAAAATTTCGGCACTTCATGATTTTTGACATTTCGGCGGCGATTTATTTTCGGCGTGGGGTAGAGGGCATGGTATAGTGCGACAGATGCTGTGAAAAATTTCATCGGCGTTTTAATTTAGGTGTTTGGGGTCGGTGCCGAATATAGCTGAAATTAAATAGCTTCTGAAAAATTGTATATTTACAGTATCGCACCTTTTGAAACTAAAATTCAAGGGTAAAAAGGGGGTGCAACTTACAATCCAGCGTGATATCCTACTGAAGTCAATATACCAAATCAATATCGCTCAAATCTGAAAATGGGGGTGAGATTTAAAATGGGGGTGCAACTTAAAATGGGGGTGCGACATATACTCGAGTGTGACTTATAATTGGGGAAATATGGTATGTTTTCCACGTACATGTATGTCTTGAAGTTGTTGTTTTCTGGCTGTATTTTATCACTGTGCAGGTGAAAGAGAATGATCCAGTTGGTACAGTAGTCGGAGTATTCGCTTACACTGATGAAGACAAAGGACAAACTCATCAAGTCCAGCTTGTTGATGATGATAATGGTCAATTCAAACTGAGTGCGGATGGTACAACATTGCTGAAGGCCAAGTCTACAGATTATGAAACCAAGACTGTACACAAAGTCACTGTGAAGGTCACGGATAGTGGAAACCCTGCTATGTCTGTAAGTCATCGTGGTGGGTTTCTAAGATGAGCTGACTTTCTTTGATCCAACCGACAACAAGCTCACACAACTCAGTTTGGGATATTTACAGGATACAGGAACAATATGATACAGGTGAAACAAGAGAGAAAGAAAGCTATCCGTCCATCACGGAAGGAACAACAACTAACTAGAAAAGGAAAATATCGAAGAAACAAGTAGCGCAAGCGAAAGCCAAAACGCTCTCCTCAGCAGAACGTGCACATACACGTGCGCCTACAAAGCACCCACAGCAGCGCAAACGACGCCAACGTACTACACTAATCTACACTAATTTACATACATCAAATAAGGATTCCAAAAGCAACCGAAAAAGTAGCCAGCTCTGCAGAAGGATCCGCGACTGAGTACAGTCCGCGTAGCCATGGGACCTCATGACGTCAACCAAACAAAAGACACAGAAAAGACGTGTCAGATAAACAATAAATAAACCAAACAGCAAACTAGTAAGCTAACGATAAACTAGTAACACTGAGACAATTCGACTGTCACAAAGTACGACAAAATCACATGCAAGAAGTCCTTTCACTTTGTCCACCGCTCGTTGCGTGACATCACTCCCCACCAAAGGACTTCCTGGGGATCACAATCCTAAACAAACGAATGCACGAACAACACAATCGACTCTGGTATTCCGGACGCCACGATCAATAAGACTGCGTGCAAGACACCGCTGATCATCGTCGCTGTACTCTTCCCTGAGCACGTTACCCAGGCGCTGCATCCTGCGACTGACATTCCATCTTTTCATCAACTTGATGGCTTCCGGCACATCACTTTCTGGCGATCGTTGGTTAGCCTTCCTCCGTGAAACAACAAGGCACTGCGTTTCAAACCGCTTCGCTGGGTTCTCACGCGTATTGTTCGCTACACGTGGTGGCTCCTCCATCTGCCACCGCCGTTCCATTTTTGCCTCGATACAGGCCACCGACACAGTGCATCCGGCTTTTGTGTCCAATGCGCTGTTACCATTGACGACCTTCATTTCCGTCTCCACCTCAGCCGTATCCATGACTGACACTCCAAAGCACTGTCCACTGTGCTGGGTTGTTGGAGCGACCGACGGATTCTCCACTGACGCTCGTCGTCCACGCACCTCTTGGTCAAACACAACCGTTGTTTCCTTGTACATTGGAAACGTAATCCTGGTACTTGTACTTGGGACTGTCATTACCCCCACAGCACTGCTGTCCACTAGTCCACAAGTAGACGCAACCTCCGCCGCAGAGCGCTCCCCTCGCAACTCCGCTTCGGCCGCTCGGAACGCATGCCCCCGTTGAGCACGCGCCTCCTCCCATTGGATAGCCTGCTCCCTTCGAGCGTTGACCTCCTTCACCTTTCTTTCCACGTACTGCGCGAGTCGGCTCCCCTCGAAACCCAGGGCCTTACCAACTCGCAGCAACCGCTCCTCCAACAGCAGTCCCCCCGCGGACTCTGCCGAGTATCCTGCGCCCTCACTGGTTCTCTCCTCGAGCATCGTGGCCACTTCCTGTCAGCGCCACTGGATCCAAACAGCGTATCTATCCTGGCGTGGTCGCCAAATTTTGTGCACGCGCACATGTTGTCCAGGCGTTAGGGGCCCAGCCTCCCTGCCCATCCGACCCGCCACACACAACAACGAAACTGAACTGAGAGTTCTACATAATTTCTTGACAAGACGGAGACGGACAGACAAGAAGACCGGACACGACGAGGTAAACTGATAACTGAAGAAAAAGACTAACATTTATGGCAGCATACGAGCATGCGCGCAACAAAACACAACGTATGACAATGACGTAACCGTTACTTGGATCATGTACAAACTATACATGCAACCAAAACAAGTCAAAGCAGAACGCAAAACAAACCAAATTAAACGAAAGGACCACAACAAAAAGAGCCATGAAAAGTCTTTCTACCGATACACAACATATTCCCCACCAAAGACCTTTTCAGGGTTCTACGAGGACTGCGAACACTGTGCCCTACGAGTATACGCCGCAAGCGTACTAATCAAGCTAACTACAAGAGGCAACAAATAAACAAATAAACGATCGACACGTCAACAAAACTCCAACGAAAGGCAACGTCCGACCAGGGACAAACAAATCAAACTCAAACAAATCGAGCAAACCGAACTGCCAAACTCGAACTAACAAACAACTCGAGCAAAACAAACTAATCAACAACTCGAGCAAACCGAACTACCAAACTCGAACTAACAAACAAATCGAGCAAACCAAACCACTCAAAACAAATCGAATCAAACTAGTCAACAAATCACAGCAGGAGCACCTTCTAAACTCCGCGTCACACTCACATGGGGTTATTTGCTCACGATGCGTTTTCCTTCGCACCGTCCTTGTCGTAGGAACCAGCCACTCATCGCAGACGTTTATCCGACTTCATCTACCCTCAGCGCATTCAGCTCCAACGACTTCCGTCGCACCAACCTCCGAGTCGTCGTCTTCACCAGCCACCTCGCGGGACGTCCCTGCCCTCAGCGCATTCAACTCCGACGGACCAGCCACTCCTCGCAGATGTTCATCCATTTCATCTGCCCTCAGCGCATTCAGCTCCGACGAGCCAGCCACTCCTCGCAGACGTTTCCTCGCTCAGCGCCTTCAGCTCAGACGACGTCGTTTCGGTGATTTGTTCACGATGCGTTTTCCTTCGCACCGGAGTTCCTTCCAGTTCCTCGTCTCCCTGACAATCCTGGCGTGGTCGCCATAATTTGATCCAACCGACAACAAGCTCACACAACTCAGTTTGGGATATTTACAGGATACAGGAACAATATGATACAGGTGAAACAAGAGAGAAAGAAAGCTATCCGTCCATCACGGAAGGAACAACAACTAACTAGAAAAGGAAAATATCGAAGAAACAAGTAGCGCAAGCGAAAGCCAAAACGCTCTCCTCAGCAGAACGTGCACATACACGTGCGCCTACAAAGCACCCACAGCAGCGCAAACGACGCCAACGTACTACACTAATCTACACTAATTTACATGCATCAAATAAGGATTCCAAAAGCAACCGAAAAAGTAGCCAGCTCTGCAGAAGGATCCGCGACTGAGTACAGTCCGCGTAGCCATGGGACCTCATGACGTCAACCAAACAAAAGACACAGAAAAGACGTGTCAGATAAACAATAAATAAACCAAACGCAGATTCAAACAGCAAACTAGTAAGCTAACGATAAACTAGTAACACTGAGACAATTCGACTGTCACAAAGTACGACAAAATCACATGCAAGAAGTCCTTTCACTTTGTCCACCGCTCGTTGCGTGACACTTTCGTTGAACATTTCAGGAAATGGTTAAAACAATTTCCCGTTGCTGTGTCTGTTATTCCTGAAGGTCATGTCTCTAACGATGTAACCGAGTTCTTTGTTTTCTAATTTATTATTATTGATTTCTGTGAGTACACTATTTTCCTGCTTGTACTTGTAGGTTCAGCGTGATTTCTACATCAGTGTAACAGACAAGAATGAAGTACCACTGCTTCCCGTCTTCAAGGATACTAACGGACAACAAGTGTTTACAGATGATCATGCTAGTGTGAATGAGCATCCCAAATATGGCAGTGTTGTTGGCGCAATCTATGCATCAGACCCGGTCAGTAACCATCGACCAGTGTGATTTTTCGTTTGGGGCATTCGGGTGTAGTTTATTTTCCAGTTCAAACCTAGCTATGGAGAGTGACATTAAAAAAATGTGGAGTTAAAGTTGAAAATGGTGTTGTGCAACCCAGAACAATGTAAATATTCAAATTGTAGACTGAGACATGGAGCCAGTAATTATGGGAAAGAACCGAACTGTACTCATCGTTGTTGCCCAGCAATTTATTGCCAAGATACTATAGGGTCAGATTGTGTGACATTGGGCACATTGCTGACTGATAAAACTGTCATTCAATGACCTGACATTTGATTTCTATCCAACAGATAATATTTAGCGGGTCAAAGAGCTAATATGACTTGCTAAGCAGTGGGGACTATGCTAGTCGTTGAGTGTCTGAAAATTCAGTCAGGACTGTGCCGAATGTCACACGTTCTGACTGTACACATCAAGTTGGTGGACAGTCGGAACGCACGAAGAGTAAACTTTGCCTACCACCGCTTTAGGAGCTACGTCTGTGTCTTGATGTTGAGGGTGCTGGTGTTCCAACGCGGAAAAGGATAACTGAGTCTCGCGCGAATTGGAAAAATGTTCCTTCTTCGAATAATGAAAAGGGAAGGTTTACAAGGTTGAGACATTATAACGTAAGAAAGGGGAAGGTGAGCGCACTCCAGACAAGAACAAGCTAAACAGCACAGCAAACTAAGAATACTAGCTATGACAGAGTGACGACGAAAGACGAAGGACCACAGCATAGGACGGCCACGTTACTTCATAACTTAACCTTCCAAGTTGGAAGGATGTTGGTTTGCGAATTCTAGATGTGTTGCAGCTAAGCATCAGGTCGTTGAATGTCAGTATCACATCAGTCAGTTTTGTGCTAATCGCTGCATGTTCTGACTCGTCAGCATTGTGCTTATAATGGCTAGTGTTGGACACAAACAACGGATAACTTGTAAACTTTTGGTCCTTTTCTTTTCTTCTCTTTTTATCTTTGGCTCTCCATCCGAATCTTATCTTCGATTAACATTTGGGATATACGTTGATATACGTTGAGAGTTTATCCTAGTATTTGACTCTCTATTGCCTCTGTTATATCCTTTGCAGGATTCCAACCAACCACTGAAGCTCACATTGGATGACAATGCACAGGGAAAGTTCTCCATTGCACCAGTGGCTACTTGCACTTTGGTAAGCGATAACCTGTAGCAATACGTATGTTCCATAGCAGGCTTTTCACAGTGTTGCACGTTATAATGCTGAAAGATATTGAATGTTGATACATTAAAACCGTGCAGAGAGGTTCCAGGCTGTCCAATAGAGTGCTCAGTACCGAAAGGCAGAGCTAGTTCAAACAAGAATAAGAGGATGAAAAAAGTGTTGGAGCATTGAAAGTCACATAGTGCCCACTCAGTACCAGCCACAGACAAGTTCTGGAAGGTCTGGAGGAAGACTGTATTGGGTTGGATTGATGAGGGGAGGGAGGGTGGGAGGGAGGGTGGGAGGAAGGGAGGGGGGGGGGTAGAGAAGGAGAGGGACATAGACAGGGAGAGGTACATGGAGAGAGGAAGGGGAAAATGAAGCTATGGGTTTCTCGCCAGCAGGGGGAAGGATGTGCGAGGAAATGCACGGGAGATGGAGACCTAATGTCAGGTCCCCATCTTCCGTTTTTCAACTCACTTCTTTCCCCATGTTGGCCAGCTCCCCTTCGCTTCCTGTGTTCCAATATGACACCTTTGTTCGGTTGCCCTGGGCAGCTGCTTGCACGCCCATATTTGCCATACCTACCGAGGCCCCAGGCTTTCTCGTTCTCTCACTCTCTCTCTCTCTCTCTCTCTCTCTCTCTCTTTCTTGCCATTAGCATAATAGCCTTTCTTATCCCTTTCTCTGTATGTCTTAATGAAGTGATACCCCCGACACAAACTGCACAAACAAGTGTGACATTCTTTGAAAGTTTACTTTTGGCTGACCGGTTTCACTACTAGGTGTAGATCATCAGAGTGAAGAGTAAAGTGGAACGAAACACAATTTTATGCTCCCACTAGGTGGGTAGAAAATGTATTGACACATGTGGGCCGCCAAAACGCTAGGGGCCCCAAGGGCATTGGGAAATGCTACGGTAATACGGTCATGCAATAATTGCACAAGGTGTATGTGTGTCATGTGTCATGAATGAAGTGCGCATGCAACTATGAGTACTATATTCATGAGGTGAATTGAATTTTAGGCGGGATCCAAAGCTTGGACCCCGCCTAAATGCAGGCGACTAAGCCTGCAAACAATGAAAGTATGGAGAATGGAGAAAAGAGAACAAACATTTGAAAATGTTTATCAGAAACCAGCTTCAGTGAAACAATTGTTTCGTTTTGCGATAGAAGATCTCAACATTGGAAGAGGAGAAAGATTCTGTTAATATCGTTCTAAGACGATTTCTTGCAAAATGCGGGTGATAGGAAGTAACAAATGTAATTGTATTCCTGTTGTGGCTGGTCTTCGCTTTCTTGGCAGCAGAATGATGTGTAACACGAGGTTCAATATTCATGAAGATAGGAGCCAAGAAATGTGGAGGATAGCCTCTGAGCCTAAGTCTGCACCAAAAACGCTCACGGATAGTAAGAACATCAGACAATCTTGAATTAGTTCTATTATATCGACAGAGTTCTGCAATGATAAATGAGCGGAAGTTTGATTTTGTTCCACTTTACTCTTCACTCTGATGATCTACACCTAGTAGTGAAACCGGTCAGCCAAAAGTAAACTTTCAAAGAATGTCACACTTGTTTGTGCAGTTTGTGTCGGGGGTATCACTTCATTAAGATTTATGTTCAATATGACCTCCCTCAAACGTGTTCTTTAGTATGGACAAGAAGTCCCACGTTGGCCTACCTAGACCCGGTGCTGGCTCTGTCAGCGTAGTACCGCCACGCTCTAAACGCCTCCGTGAAGACACTGCTTTCGACGATGATGTCGATGATGATGATGTCGCCATAATCGACGCCCTAATCAACGAAAAGTCATCTGAAGCTGCAACCGACGCTGCAACTGACGACTCTGCCGATTCTGCCAATGCCTCACCTGTTACCTGCCCTGGCGACCGTCCTCTACCAGATGATGAGCTAGAGAGGTACGTTACCTGGTGCATTAATCGTGTATTTACCAGTAAGAAGGTTTTGTCCGAACAGTCGGAAAAGAAAGACAAGTTGCAAGCTCAAATTGATGGAAACTCCTTTCAAGATCATATCATTAAGAAGTTTTCTAAGCTCTCAGATAGGGCCAGATTGATTGAATGCACAGAGTATGTGAATAAGCAAATAGCCGCCTGCAATACCAAGCTGAGTAAAGCAGAAGCTACGCTAGATTCAGCTAACACTGACTTCAACATTCTCGCTGAAAGACTTTCATCTAACGAAGCAACCAACATTTTTGCCAGTCAACTCACTTCCCGTTTCAAATATCTTTCTGGGCTAAGACAAGCTTGCATCATCGCTAAACAATGTCGGACTGATTTAACCTCAGCCAGAAAAGACAAGCCAAAAGACAAGATGGATGTTCAAGCACTGCCTCCAACCTCAGAAGAGATTGGCGCTCTTATCAAAAAAGAAGTCACTAGGCAAGTCATTTCCCAGCAGCAGCAGCGACAGCAACCGAAAAAACAGCAACAGCAGCAGCAACAGTCTAAGATTAGTCGAAAAACCAGCTCAGCAAAGCCTGCTCAGCAAAAGAAGAAGAAGAAGACGGCAAAAAACGTTACAGTGAAATTGTCCCACGGCAGAAGAAAAGGCAAAAATCATTCTTAGACTTACGTTTGAAATATATTTGGAATCTCAATCTGAATAGACATTCTACGTACGTTCTAAACTCTGGTTTTCATAACTTTTCTAGTTTCAATTTCACACCCATTGAAAAGCAAGTTCTCGGATATGGGTCTAACTTTAGACCCTCTACTCACTTGCCAACACAGCAGCAATTATCAAACGATATTTCTGCACTTCAACGTAAAGTCAGATGGAATGACCTGTTTAATCGTTTTAGGACTACAGTGCCTAGCAAACAATATATTCCACATTTTCACCTCCCTTCAGAGAAGGTTCCTCCTACCGCTTTACCTCATGTTGAATTTGCTCTACTTGATTTCCGGTCAAGATTAGAATCTAGCATCCATGCAGCTCAGATTACAAGCAAACGTAAACATAATCTAACCCCTAGCGAATTATCAGCGTATCTCTTATTAAAAAACAGACCAGATATTGTTATTTCTAAAGCAGATAAAAATCTTGGCACTGTTGTTTTAAACAAAGAAGATTACATAGCAGAAGGCCTTCGCCAGCTAGCTGACAGAAAATATTATTCTCCAGTATCTTCAGATAACCAAGCACTGCATGATTCTCTACACCGTGACCTCTCAGAAATTTGTAAAGTACACTCTGCCCTACTTTCTGAACGTGATGTCACTGCATTATTTAGCTCTTTCCCTTTTAAACCAGCTAAATTCTATATGCTTCCGAAAATCCACAAAAAACTTGTTGACGGCTTAGTACCGGGTAGACCAATTGTCTCTTGCATTGGATACTGCACCTCCCCGTCTTCTAGATTTATAGATTTTCACCTTAAAAACATCATTCATGAAACTGCCAACACTGTACTTGCTGACACAGATAGTCTAATCTCTAAACTTGCAAATACACATTTCCCTGCAAACAGCAAAGTAGTTACAGCTGATGTTGTCAGTCTTTACACAAACATGAATTGGCACGATACAATTTCTGCAATTGATGAGTTTTTGAAAGATGCTGAGCATCCATTGCGGCCTCTTTTGATTGCACTCATTGCCTTTGTTCTGAAAAACAACTATTTCAAGTTTGAAAACGTTTTGTATCATCAAGAACATGGCATGGCCATGGGCACTCCCATGGCGGTCAATGTAGCAAATGCCTTCCTTTTCATCCACGAAAAGAAAACACTGTCTATCTTTAAAGCTTCCATCTATCTTTTTGAAAGATTTATTGACGACCTCTTCCTAGTCATAGATGATAAGCTCAGCATAGAATCCTTGCAACAGTCTCTCTATTCAGATTTACCTGACATTAACCTCACCTGGTCAAATGTTAGCGATGAATGTGTCTTTCTAGATTTAGAACTCTTCTTAGACAAATCAGAGACTAATTGTAATGTCCTGTATCGTACATATCAGAAACCCAGGAATGCTTATCTTTACATTCCGTATAAGTCAGATCACCCAAAATCAAACTTCCGCTCATTTATCATTGCAGAACTCTGTCGATATAATAGAACTAATTCAAGATTGTCTGATGTTCTTACTATCCGTGAGCGTTTTTGGTGCAGACTTAGGCTCAGAGGCTATCCTCCACATTTCTTGGCTCCTATCTTCATGAATATTGAACCTCGTGTTACACATCATTCTGCTGCCAAGAAAGCGAAGACCAGCCACAACAGGAATACAATTACATTTGTTACTTCCTATCACCCGCATTTTGCAAGAAATCGTCTTAGAACGATATTAACAGAATCTTTCTCCTCTTCCAATGTTGAGATCTTCTATCGCAAAACGAAACAATTGTTTCACTGAAGCTGGTTTCTGATAAACATTTTCAAATGTTTGTTCTCTTTTCTCCATTCTCCATACTTTCATTGTTTGCAGGCTTAGTCGCCTGCATTTAGGCGGGGTCCAAGCTTTGGATCCCGCCTAAAATTCAATTCACCTCATGAATATAGTACTCATAGTTGCATGCGCACTTCATTCATGACACATGACACACATACACCTTGTGCAATTATTGCATGACCGTATTACCGTAGCATTTCCCAATGCCCTTGGGGCCCCTAGCGTTTTGGCGGCCCACATGTGTCAATACATTTTCTACCCACCTAGTGGGAGCATAAAATTGTGTTTCGTTCCACTTTACTCTTCACTCTGATGATCTACACCTAGTAGTGAAACCGGTCAGCCAAAAGTAAACTTT